AAAAATGTATCCATCTCTTCTAAGTTTTCAAATTTGTTAGAGTACAACTCTTCATAGTATTCTGTTATTATCCTTTTGATTTCCTTTGGTTCCGTTGTGACATCACCCATGTGATTTCAAATGCGTGTTGTGTCTTCTCTCTGTTTTCTTATAATTTGCTTTTTGAAGGATACTTGTCTCTTGGCTGATATAGTTTATGCAATTTACAAACCATGACAAGTGAAATGTCTATTTTTTTAAAAAATAAATTTTACTAATCTAATTCTTAATTTGATTTCTAGATAACACCAACTGGGCAAGTGGTGAGGATGATCACGTAGTTGCTAGAGCAGAATATGACTTTGTTGCCGTATCTGAAGAAGAAATTTCTTTCCGTGCTGGTGATATGCTAAACTTAGCTCTCAAAGGTAATAAATCGGAATAATTTATGAACTTTAGTACTTAGTGTTTGTAAATGTTTGTGTTGCCCACTGCAACAAAGGTTCTATTCTGAAGTGTGAGGCTTTATCTTTTGTGTCAATTTAGACTTTCCAAATCTGGGGAAAGTCAGGAAGGAATATCTCAACAGGATTGTTTCAATAATAAAAGATTTTGTTTATATAGTGTCTTTTCTAAATGGACTCAAAACACTTGAATTTCATACACTAATAATCCTCACACAAAAACGTGGTATAGTACTAACTATAACAAATAGAACAAATTAAAGAAAATTCTAGTATCATCCAAAAAATTCCTTTCTGCCCTTGATTACTGGATTTAGTATTGCTTTCTTTATTACTTAGTATTTAATTTAGAAACTTTATTGTATTTGGGAATCATTGTCTGAAATAATACAGAACCTCAATAAGAAATATATACAGGTCTAAGTTGTTTTTTTTTTTTTTACTAGACTTGCAGGTATTTATGTTTGTGTTATAGTGAAACTAGCAATTTTTACTGTTTTTTAGTTTAAACGTGATTTTGCTTTGTTTTGTTTTTTACTTTTTACTGTGATTTGGATGCGAGTTTACAGAACAAATTAATTTTCCATTCAGCAATTCATACACAGTTTATTTCATGGCACTGATTGAACTGCCCACATTGTAGCTGCACTCTTCCCGCTTTCTCCCTGTATTGACTCTTTTCATTCATCCTTCTCTCCTGTTCCTTTCTGCCTTCTGAGCTTTATCCCTGGGTGGATGCTGCCCTTTTGATCTTGTATGCTTGATTGTTCTAAAGAGAGTGTACCACCCTGGTGAAATTGTTCACCTTATAGGCATGTCTGTTGTTTGGCTAAAAGTTGAACCACAGGAGGAAATTGAGTTCCAGGCTTGACTGGTATCTAAGGGACATTCTCTCAGGGGTTGCACTAGTCGCTGTCAGCCCAATAATTCTGGTCTTTTTAATTCTTTTGAGTTTTGTGCCACATTTTTCTCCCAGTCTTTATAGGACTCTCTTTGAGAGTGGTCTGTAGTGATGGCTGGCCACCATCTAATTCATCTGGTCTCAGGGTCAGGGAGGCTGGAGTTCACATGGTCCAGTTGTCCTCTGGACTACTGTTTTTTTCCGTATGTCTTTGATTTTCTTCACTCTTCTTTGTTCCAGACAGAGACAGACAAATAGTTGCACTTTAGATGGCCACTCACAAGCTTCTAAGACCCCAGTTGCTACTTGACAAAGTTGGATATAAAACATTGTTTCTGTGAACTATATTATGCCAATTGAAATTTTTGTTCCAAGACCATGGTCCTGAGCCCCCAGGCTTAGTGACTCAGTCCTTCAAGTTTGATTATGGCTAAGAAGTTTTCATAGCTTTGCCCCTATATATTCTACTTTGTACCTGGATCTATTTGCAGCACTTGTAAATAGGTATGTAGAAATAAGATTGATAAGTTTTTAAGATTTTTTATTAGAGACATGAATAACATAGAAAATTAATTTTAATTAGATTAAATTTAAAATGTGATAAAGTGTGATCTCTTAATTATATTTCAGAGAAGTTTTATCTCATGTTATACTTCAAATAATAGTGCCTCAACATTCTGGCCTATGCTTCTTTATTTTCCTTTTCTTTCATTCCTCAAATAAAGCATGTTTTAACATTTCAAGCAAAATCAATCACAGGCATGGTTAAGTGCTTAATTCCTTCCTTTTACAATGTATTATTATAAAAAGCTTATATATAAATTATAATGTTGAAATAAAACTGAACAGATTAAACAACTGTTTAAGACATGGATAAAATAATTGGAGAGTACTATAATACAAAATTGAATATATTAAGTATGTTTTCCACTTTAAACATAGGCTATTGCCTTTAACTTTTTGTCATGTGGCTAGAAATAATTTGAGTCTTAAATTTTTGCCCCTTTTGGATTGAAATTAATATTCACTATCTTCAGGATTATTTATCATAATCCCAAAATCAAATGAATTTTATATTTTGGCCAAAAGTATGCAAAGAAGTCTGGCTGGATAAAGGTATATGTCTATTTTTTATATTTCTCTATAACTTATCTGATTGAGAAGGTATAATATATTCAGCCTTACATTTAAGTCTAAAATATGAAAGACATTCTTAGATGAACCTTGAAAATGAATGCTGAGTGAAATGCAAAGGACAAATACTCTGTGATCTGGCTATGTGAAATAAGCAACAACACAGAAACCAGATTACTCATGGCTACGGGGTGAGAGGGAGAGGGGAGGAAGGAAAGCTAATTTGGGATGTATTGAGTTGATATTAATTTGGGTGGAATATTTTAGAAAAGGATAGTGACAGTGGTACAGCATGAAAACTGTAATCAATAGCATTGAATTTTAAATGTGCAAATTGTTTTTTGGTGTGTACATATATTTTTACCACAATAAAAAGATCCAAAAACAGAGGGACAGTGATCTTAGTGTTCAGCTTTTGAGAGGGCTGAATCTCCTCACTTTATGAATGGACCAACTGATGAAAAATATGTTCTTAAAGGTAGGAAAAATACTTATCTTTAAAATAAAATATAGGCAGATTTGACAAATGAACCCTGAAATTATTAACCCTACTCAGAATTTGAATTTAAATATATATACTATTTGTTTGTATATTTTATTATGTAACCAGGGTTTACTTAACATAGTATTATACTGTACATAGTCCTCCAAATATGTTATAATTACAAGACTCTCTTTTCTTCCTTCAGAACAACAACCCAAAGTACGTGGTTGGCTTCTGGCTAGTCTTGATGGTCAAACAACAGGACTTATACCCGCTAACTATGTTAAAATTCTTGGTAAAAGAAGGGGTAGAAAAACAGAGGAATCGAATAAAATCTCCAAGCAACAACAGTCTTTTACCAACACAACACTACTGAAAGGAGCTGCTGCTGCTACTGCTGATTCTTTGGATGAACAGGAAGCTGCCTTTGAATCTGTTTTTGTTGAAACTAATAAGGTTCCAACTGCACCTGATTCCATTGGGAAAAATGGAGATAAACAAGATCTTTGATATCTTTCATTTTTGCCTGCAGTTGAACTATACAATACTTTTAAAAATTATTTCTTATAAAGAAATTAATCTACAATCTGATGGAAACATTTGTTAGTGTTTTGCTGCTAAGAATTATTAAAATTGTATACTGGTATGTTGGTCTAGTGACCTTGTTGCATTTTACAGGTAATTGGACAATGAGGATGTTTGTTTCACTGAGATTTTAAAGTTAGGGAGATGCTCTCACTTTCATCTTATTTAAAGCCCTACATTTATCAAAAGATGATAAATTATAACATCATATTTGAGTTGATGAGCTATAAAATGCAGTTTGTTGCAGTAGGGATCATCAAAGTTTTAAAAAGTTCTAGATAAACTGACTCAGATTCTTCAGATGAGTGATAGCATATAAATATGAGAACCAGGCAAAAAGACATTTTAGGTTGTTTTTTGTTTTTTTTTTACAACCTTAAATAAGCTGAGTAAGAATTTTCGGATCTGTATTACATCCTAGTATTTGGTTTCCTTTAGGCAGTATTGTTTACTCTCAAACAATACTATCATCTTTTATTTATTTTTTTTTCTTTCATTGAAAAGGTCACTACTATTAGCATTTTGAAGAAGATGGTTCTGGAGTAATCAACTGTAACCCTAATAATGGTTTTCCCTGCTCTAGTGAAAAGGCTGAAATGCATCTTTTCTCAAAGATTCTGTTTCCTCTAAAGATCAGCACTATTTTCTCCTTTTATAACGTGATTAGTTTTCATTCTTAATCAAATCAAAATATATAAAAGTTTTACTTTCTTTCCCTTCAACCAATACTCCAATTCTTGGAGTCTACACTTAATGACTGAATCAGTTTTGAATCTTTTCATACAGCCTCTGCTTTTTCCTTAGTATAATCACTTTTTAAAATTCCATACTTAGGCTTTTCTTTCAGTATTGAAAATTGTGTTATGTTGGACACACATTTCATTTTGATTTTGCTACTGAAACTAAATAAAATACTCTACTGTTGTTTAGAATACAGTAATGCTATTTGACTTGTTTTTTCCTTAATGATTTTAATCATAGTTCAGTTTTAATACGCTGGATAACCCATTGCCATCGAGTTGATTCCGAGTCATGGTGAGCCTGTAGAACAAAAGAGAATTGCACATAGTCAGTCTCCAAGACTATAATCATTATAGAAGGAGGCCTGCTGGTACAGTGGTTAAGTGCTTGGCTTCCAAACAAAACATCAGCGGTTCAAACCCACCAGCCTCTCTACAAGAGCACCATATGACAGTTTGTGTTTGTAAAACTACAGCCTTGGAAACTCTATGAGGCAATTCTGTTCTGTCCTGTAGGGTCACTATGAGTCAGAATCGACTCAACAGCAGTGGGTTTTGGTTTGGGGAATCTTATCAGAAGCAGATGGCCATATTTTTCTCCCACAGTGCAGCTGTTTTCAGACCACTAATCTTTTGGTTTCGCAGCCAAGTGCTTAAGCACTATACCATGAGAGCTCCTTAATGTTCTGTCTATTTCCCCACAAAATTGGAAAATTCTGTATTTGCTGTAATCATACTACAGCATAGTATAATTAGTAATACAGGTGTGTAAGAAGTTCTCAACAAGACATTTAGGAACAAAATGTATACCCAGCATAGAATCAATTTACTAAAGGCTTCTTAGGAAATCTCTTTATGAAATAATAAGTAGCATGATTTAAAACAGAAATCTTGATCTTATACAGACAAAAGAAATATACGATGGTAAAAATTATTTAACTATGGCTTATTTTTCTAACACTCAGGTATCACATAGTCTTCAAGTTAAGGATATGAAAGTACATTATTTTCCATTTGTGTTCTGTAATTATAGATTCTGCTTAGATTTGTTAGAGAATAATTTGTCAAAATTTTGCTTTTGACAAATTTTTTATTTAAAAAAATTAGTTTTAGTGTTGGATCATCTAAAATGTATGCTAAAAATGAAGTAGAAATAAAATGTTGAAGTCAGCACTATCTATGTTAGAAAAGGTTAGTCATTAAGAATAATATTTGTGACTGCTAATTATGAATGTATAGAGAGTCTTGGTATGGTGCTGTAGTAATGCGCTAGACTGCAAGGTCGATTTGAACCTCAGGATTGGCAGTTCAGACTTCTTGGAAACCCTGAACAGGGTTGCTATGAGTCAGAACTGACTCTAGGGCACTTAACAACAGCAACAGAGAAGAATATAGCACAGAATTAATTACAAAAACAACTTCACTTTATTTAGGGTGTTTATGTTAAATACAGATTCCTAGTGCGGTGCTGTGGGTTAATACGCTGGACTGCAAAGTCAGTTTAAACTGCAAGATCAGTGGTTCAAGCTCAATGGCTGCTCCTCAGGAACCCTATACAGGATCGCTATGGGTTGGAACCGACTCGACAGCACTTAACAACAACATTAAATATACTAAATGGCAACATACATATGAAAATCCTCTTTTTATTAAAACTCTGCAAAAATGGGAAAATAAGAAGCAAAGATATATCATAGCCATTTTTATGACAGTTTTAGTATAATTTTTTTTAGATGAGATGAAATGTGATGTTATTTTAGCAACTTAAAAGAGTGCTACTTCACAAAAATATTAACAGACTAAAACATTGTAAATAAAATAAGTCAAGTTAAAAAAAAACAGGTTTCATTTTCTTAATCTTTCTGATTGTAGAGTATCAGTTTAAAAAGTAAAGTTAAGCAAACTACATTTTTATGTTTCAACATTTTATTTAGGTACTGGATTTAGTCTGTCAGTATGTCATAGATTTCCTTGAATACAGCTGTTCTTTATCTTGTGCTTTCATTAATGGAAAAAGGAACAAATTGAATGTTGTTAAAATTTATTTTTAATAGATTGTCAGTAACTTTTATTGGACAATAAAAATATTAAACTTCATGGACATTTTTTAACTATTTTACAGGATTGGAGTTAATATAACAAGTCTGTATCTTTATATCATTATGTATCTTTACCACAAACCAGTGTGTCTTCCATTTCTTTAGGAGTTAAAGAAAAACATATTTGTAAGTATATACAAATTATCTCGAAAAGGAATTCAATAAAAGTAAAATCTCAAATCTAGGTTTTGTAAAACCTAGCTTCTAATCCGGATACCTCCACTTACTATAGGATTTTAGTCCCATTATTGACTTTTCAGTTTCCTCATTGAGAACATTGAGCATAACTGCTTAGATCTGCCTCATATGAGGATTTTTTAGAAAATATAAAGCATAACCCAAAGTAGTAATACATTATGACAACCACAGACCTTGGAGACTTTGTGGGTTCGGTTCCAGACCATCATAGTAAAGCAAGTCATGAGTTCGGTTGTTTTTATTTGTTGTTGTTTCCCAGTCCATATAAAAGTTATGTTTGTATACTATACAGTCGTCTATTGAAGTGTGCAATAGCACCATGGCTCTATAGGATAAGCATTGAACTGCCAGCCACAAGGTCGGTAGTCCAAGCCCACCAGATACTCTGAGGAGAAATGTGAAGCTTTCTCCTTCCGCAAAGGTTGACATCCTCAGAAACCCTATACAGGGTTGCTGTGAGTCGAAACTGATTCATGCACTTCACAGCAACAGCACTATGAAAAAGTTTGAAGTAGAAGAATTACCAAAATATGTGGGCACAGAGTAAGTGAATACATGCTGTTAGAAAATGGTGCCAATAGACTTATTCACTGTAGGTTACCACAGACCAGTTTGTTAAAAACAAAACCAATGCAGTATCTGCAAAATGCAATCAAAGTGCAATAAATCAAGGTATACCTCTCTATGCTTTGTAAATGTTTCCCTGTGTATTTAAATGCTTTATTACATCCTAAAGAAACGTCACAGATCTTTCTATCTGTTGAGTTTCAGATTCACATATTAAAAATCAGAATTAGTTCAACTGTACTCATAATTTTGCCCAAAATGTCATTTAAAAAAATTTTTTTTGGTAACTATCAGAACAGCCTAATAAAAATACACAATGCAATATTTGTACAAGAAAGAAAAATATTTTTAAAATATCACCTTGAAGTTTTCTTTTGTATTGTATAGGGTTTTATTTAGCCTACCTTATTTGCAAGAGTTAACTTTTTTAAGTTCAACCAACACATGAATCCTCTGGTTATAGTCTGTACTTTACCACATGAATAGCTCTTCGCATTTTTAAAAAAGAATGTTCAATTTAATTCATCTAACTTAAGTCTTCTGGTCGTGTAAAAAAAAGTTTTACTGATTTTTAAAGACCTCAGGTGCTCAGAGTTGAGTCAGTCATTTGTCATAATATTGGCATTGCCAATGGCATTAATATTACCAATAGCATTCACCCAAAAAGGTACATTTTTGTTCTTTATTTTATCATAAGAGTTTTTCTTGATCTTCTGCTCTTGGTTTTATTCCCTCCTCTATTTAATGTTTTCCTTCTAAGCCATCTGCCATATTTTGAATATTTTTTCTTGAAATATATGTAACGTATCTATATGTGTTTTAATGTCACATTTTTTTGTAGATCTCACTTCGATTTTAAATTTCATAAAATAGGTTTTTAAGACCTGTCACATACATGTTACTTTGTACAAGTTTGTGCTTGGGCATATTATTCTATTGCATATAACCAGAGTTTATCTTTTCCTCTAGTCTTCCTATGAATCTGCCCTTAGTTTCTTTCGATGGTATTGTGGTTGATGATGATGTCAATAAGTGCCATCGAGTCAGTTCTGACTCAGTGACCTTGTATAGGTTTTCAAGGAGCAGCTGGTGAGGTTGAACTGCTGACCTTGAAGTTCAAACTGACTTTGTGGTCCAGTGTTTATCTACAGTACCACAGGTGTCCTAAAGTAGAATGGCTAAGGTATGGGGTTTATGTATTTGATTTCAGTAAGTACTGCTGAATTGTTCTCAGGGATGATTGTGCCAGTTTACGCTTCCACCAGCAAGTCACGAGGGTTTCATTTTTTTCTACATCTTCAACAGCACTAGATAGTGTCTGATTTTTGCTAATCTGAGGTGTATGGAATTGTATTTTGTCTTAATTGACATTATCTGATTGCAAATGAGGTTAAGTATATGCTTATTATTAGTCTTTCTGATTTTGTTATTCTACTTGTAATTTACCCATTTTCCTA